AGAAAAAAAAAAAAAAAAAAAAAAGAGGGCTCTGCAGGCAGCCCCTCTGCACGTGACCCAGATTTCCGTACGTGGTGGGGTGCACACTACCCTGTAGAGGAGAGCAGGCCAGGCACCGGCTGATCGGGCCAGTCCATACCTCGTTTCCGCAGGTGTTTCTGTTCCTCCGGAAGCTTCTCTTCTGCCTGTCCACCTGCAGGCCACCTCGAGGGGCGTAGATCCCCGGGATGACAGCTTAAAAATGTATGATTGTTTTGTGGTGATAATCTGGGATTCTCTTCCTCTCAAGCAGGGGTGGGGAACATCCGGCCCGCAGGCCGTATATGGCCCTTGAAATCATTTGTTTCTGGCCCTGCCAAGGCAACCGCAGGCGGGACTCGAAATTCAACGTATCTTAGAAGCTTTTTTCATAGCTAATTTTTAAGTTGATAATTTTTTATGGCTGGTGAATGATGTTCTAAATATCCAAATGGCTCTTGGCAGAAAAAAGGTTCCCCAGCCCTTGCTCTAGAGGACCATGGAAGAATACCTCAGTAGTTTGAGCTTCACTCAGAACTTCTGAGATTCTGTTGGTCTCTGCATGAGGAAAACCTTCAACCCACTTTGTTGTCCAGCAGAGGCAGATGCCCCCTGGTCAGCTCAGGCGCCCCTGGGGTTCAGGCCGATCTGGGGTACAGGACCCCACACTGGACACTAGGAAGGGGCAGGGGCAGGGCTGGTGGGGCGGGAGAAAGGCCCTGGCTCATCAGATGGCGGTGAAATTGAGACCAGGGCAGCTCTGGCTACGCTCTGGTTCCGAGATGCCTTGAGGGGCTTTGACCATGGACTGCTGCTCTCTCGAAGGCTGCTTAGAGGCGGCATCTGTCCCCTCCTCATGGAGTCAATAGTCATCGACCCAGTTGGGAACTGGGTCTCGGCCAACCAGATGATGGACTCAATGTGATTCTCCTCCCAGAGCAAGTGGGAGCGACCTCCCCTCGTCCTGAGGCTGCACTCTTCCTGCGCACTCTCTCCGTCACCCACCTTGCAGCCACCCTCCTGGACCTGCCATCGGGCTCCACTTCTGAAATCTTCTCTGGCCCAGTCCCCCTCCCTTCCCGTTTTCTCCCTCCTTTTTCTGCTGTACCTCTGCCTCCTGGAAACTGCCACACTGTGGACCTCTCTGTTTCTCCCAGTTCCACCCTTTCTGACATCACTCCCCTGTACCCTGAAACTGCACTATTCATTTGCCCAGCCCTCAGTTCCTGTACCCCTGTCTCCCTCTTCCCTCCTACATCTAAGTCAGTGGTTCTCAACTGGGGGCGATTTTGCACCCTGCCCCCGGAACATTTGCAATGTCTGGAGAAGGTTTTGGTGGTCATATCTGAATGAATGAGGCAAGACCAGTGGGGTGCAGCAGGGGAGCCCCAGTCAGTGTTGTATCCACCTTGCCCTTCCTGGAGCTCTGCACACTTGTGTTTGTTTAGTGTCTGTCCTTCTGTGAGAGCTTCTGAGGTCGTGGGCTGTGCCTGTCATGTTCCCATTTTCTGGCCAGCACGTAGCACATAGTAGGTGCTGGGAATACAGGTTGACTGTTCCTGGAAAAGACATTCTAGTGGGGCCAAAATAATGACCACAGATATGAGAAAGTTGCAAGAATGAAATCATTAGAATTCCCCCCAACAGCTGGGACTCAAGCATCAAATTGGCACTGCTCTCCCTGCCAACTCTGGCTGGTCAAGTCTGCTTCCTTCTCAGCCCCAGGGTCTCTGACCTGGGCCTGGGGGTGGGGTCTGGACAGGGCTTCCCAGCCCACTGGAGGAGGCTTCCTGCCCTCTGAACCAAGAAGGAGAGAGGGCCAGGAGGGGAAACCAAGGCTTCAGGGACTGCTCACCCTGGGTGTCCTTCAGGNGCCCTCTGAACCAAGAAGGAGAGGGCCAGGAGGGGAAACCAAGGCTTCAGGGACTGCTCCCCCTGGGTGTCCTTCAGGATTGTCTGAGCCATGAGGTTGGAGGAAGAGAGTGGGGGGACAATTATGGCCTGCTGTCCACCAGGCGTAGCTGCAGGGCTGTCCATTCTCTTCCCTCAGGCACATGCTTGTACATCCAAGGGACAAATCTGAAGCAGGTGGCACATAACTCATGCTCACTAAATAGTAGTTGCTATAATTACTGTTTATGTCAAGTGTATCTCCTGGAGCTCTGGAGCTCTGGGGGAGGGAGGGAGAATGGAGGGCTGGGGTTTGGGAGCTCTGTCACCGAGCAGAGTTTGTCACAGTGGGCCTGGGATGTTCCTGTGAACTGCAGAGCCTACAGCAGTAGGCAGGAGGGGGTTGCAAATGAAAGAGCACCTGGCCAGCTCTCCCTGCCTGCCCCGCTCTCCTCTCCTCGCCTGCCCCGTGCAAGGGCAACGTGGGGAAGGACCCAGAGGTGCACTTGTGTTTGCTTAGGCAGGTTTTCTGTCTGGGTTATACACTCTGTCAGGCTGATGGCGTTTCCTGAGGACAAACAGGACCCACTGGTGGATGGAGGGGAAGTCGGTAGCTCTGGGGAGCCCAGGGAGATGACGGGATGCCAGTCAGTAACGCCAAAGGACCCACAGGAGACCCTCAAGTGGGGCACCCTCTGTCAATGTAAGGGAAACCTGGGGCTTGTAGGAGAGGTGTCTCTAAGGACTTGAGGACTCAGAATGCTCAGTTTGGAATACAAGAATCGTGGGAGCCTCTGTCTTCAAATATCTACATTCCAGTAAATAATAAACTTCTTAAGAGTAGGAGCCTTGTATGTACCTTTTATCTTTGTATCTGCAGCACCCAATTTCTGATTAGAGCTGTCTCTGGGCAATGGATTCCCTATCTCTGGACTCTTCAAGTGTAGATGAATGGGACAGCCCCTTGGGAGGTGCGTTAACTATGAACTCATTAGTGGGACCAGGGACAATGAAGGCCCCTCCCCATCATAAGATTGCATTTGGTGATGTGGGTGTATGACCAAGGTTGTGCTGTGGGGTTGAGTTTTGTGGGGTGAGAAGGCAGCCCTTTCCCCAGTAGGCTGCTCAGAACACAGGGGCTCCCTCTGAGCAAGACTGGAGGGAGGACTGTGGCTGCTCCTGCAATAGGCCCTCCAGCACCGAGACCTTCCCTCCCAACCTGGAGCCATCCTGCCACTCGTGGGCTTTGCTGCTGACCTCTCCAGCCCTTTTCGCTCTCTAGGACCTTTCCGTCTTTCCTTCCACCTGCTCCTCAGGCATACTCCTTGGCCTCCCCTTTACCTCCACATGGCCAGGCCAGGGCAGGGACAGACCGACCCTGACCAGCCTTCTGATTCCAGATCCTGGCTAGCCCCAGAGGGTCGGAGCATGGGTTACAGCTGGGCTTCCCTGAACGCACGCCTTCGTCTCCCTGCCGTGAGCCCTTCTAGCCCATTTGGAGGGAGGCTTTTCCTCGCATCCTGAGAGCTGGGGTTGTGGGAGGGTCACACCCCACGCCAGGCAGCTCACCCACCCTGCAGGGTTCTTAGAGGAGGGGCTTTCCTTACAGGAAACAGGACCATGCTTCCTAGCTCCTGTCAAGTTGATAATACTCCCGTGACTCTATCTGTGAGGCAGAGGCACTTAAAGATTGAAATTTAAGGTTAAGAAAAACAGCTGAGGATGCACGGAGTTGGGGCTGGAGGTTCCCTCCTGCTGCCGGATAGTCTCCAGGAGGAAGGGCTGGGCTGAAGCCTGCCTGCTCGGATGCCAGGAAGCGAAATGGGAGAGGGGACCTGGAGCCACCCTCCAGATGTGCCCTGGGCCAGTGGCAAAGCCCAGAGGGCAGCCAGTTTAGGTGGGACCTTTGCCGCAAGCCCTGCCTCTTGCCCTGGCCGGGGGCCTTGGTATCTCTGGTTCCAGTCCCAGTGATGGTGGTGGTGGGCGAGCTTGGACTTACTTGAAGCCCCAGTGGGACCAGGTGAAATGGGTTAGCAGGTCGTTGTCCTGAGGGTGTCTGGTCCAGGGCCTGGCACGCTTGAACTTTCAAGTGTAGCCACCATGTTTCATTCTTGTGTGGGAATTTCGGCCAAATATTTTGGCCAAATTGTTACCACTTTTTGTCACCCTCGAGCCAGCACTTTGCAAAGGGCCGGGTGCCTAATCTAAAGCTTATTGATCAAACACAGTTTTTCTTTGAGGACGCCGAAGGTCCTGGGGGAAGGGGAGGTGTAATGCTAGAAACTTGCTCTAGGCTGTGCGGTTTCAGGACCAATTGACCTTCTGGGTGAATTTTATCAATTTTATCTCCCTGAAACCTTAGCATAGAGCCCCTCCCAGCCGCCCCACCCACTGGTGTCCCGAGCCCAGAGCTCATTCCTGGGGACCGCGTCACACCTCAGCCTCTTCAGATCTGACTCGGGGCTCTCGGTATCCACAGGCTGCTGAACAGAATGTCCGCAGACGACCGGCACCTGAGCTCCAGCTGCGGCTCCTTCATCAAGACCGAGCCGTCCAGCCCGTCCTCGGGCATCGACGCCCTCAGCCACCACAGCCCCAGCGGCTCGTCGGACGCCAGCGGCGGCTTTGGCCTGGCCCTGGGCCCCCACGCCAACGGCCTGGACTCGCCGCCCATGTTCGCAGGCGCCGGGCTGGGGGGCACCCCGTGTCGCAAGAGCTACGAGGACTGTGGCAGCGGCATGATGGAGGACTCGGCCATCAAGTGCGAGTACATGCTGAACGCCATCCCCAAACGCCTGTGCCTCGTGTGCGGGGACATTGCCTCCGGCTACCACTATGGCGTGGCCTCCTGTGAGGCCTGCAAGGCCTTCTTCAAGAGGACCATCCAAGGTGCGTGGCGGC